GTTCGGACATTATTGCACGTTTAATAAGATTTTTGGAGTTCTATACTCAAAAATATTTTGGTTAGTGTAATAACCCGAAAAAAATATTATTACATATTCTTAGTTGTGAAATTAGAGAATTATTTAGTTTGTAGTTATTGGATTAAATGCTAAGTTAGTGGAAGAGAATTTACCCTGATATATAAGATAATATACTAGTTTTTTTCTAATGAGCAATTTACATTACATATGGTAGTTAAATAGTCATGGGCCTTAGATAATGTCACGATCCGGATTTCCCACCCTCGGGAGTCGTGATGGCGCCTACTCATAGAAGCTAGGCAAGCCAGACTTAATTACCGATCGGTTAAACACGTGATCCTTTTTAACATCAAACAGCATTAAAATAAAAGTGACGGAATAATAATAAAAAAAATATAAGCGGGAGTCTCAATTCTTAAATAACGGAATAAAATACGGAATCCCAACATGTATCTCTACCCAAGAACTGGAGTCACATACTCACGAACGTCTAAGAAGTACTAAATACAAAGTCTGAAAGAAACATAAATCTGTTTGTCTCGAATACAATGAGATGACAGTCAAAAGTAAGGATAGAGGAGACGCCGGGCCTGCGGACGCCTGCAAGCTACCTCGGGTCTCTCTGGACTGGTAGTATGCTCCCGTGCTAAAACTGCTGCTGCTGCTGCTCAAAACCTGGTCCTGTGCAAGAATGCACAGAGTGTAGTATCAGCACAACCGACCCCATGTGATGGCAAGTGTCTAGCCTAACCCCGGCGAAGTAGTGACGAGGCTAGACCGGACACCACATAAACCTGTGCAATTCTATATACATATACAACGGAATTGAAAGTACAAGACAAGTAAGAAATATGGGAGGGGGAAACATGTTGTGGGGAGATCACAATATTAATAGTGAGTCCGAAATAACAGTCTAAGGACAACTTGCAATTTAACAGCGGACAAGAATCAAACACCCAAATGAACACACTTGTATCATAGATTGTTGCGGCGTGCAACCCGATCCACAATGTCATTGTTGCGGCGTGCAACCCGACCCATATCATTTATCTTTGTTGCATCGTGCAACCCGACCCATATCATTTATAAATGTTGCGGCGTGCAACCCGATCCTCAAATAGCATTTTAGCATTTGTTGCGGCGCGCAACCCGATCCTCAAATATCATTTACCTCTCAACCTCACCCAAACAACAATCACAAATAAGGGTAAGGGAGTAAACATGTATTTGGAGGGAAATCCCAACAAGGGTACACAACATCCAATAACAACCCTACAAGGGGTAATCAATACTCTACACTTTCTTTCATTTTCATACTCTAATTCACATTACCATTCGAGCCAAAGCTCCAAGAAATTATTTATCTCATACACCTTCACAATTTATATTTCTAAACCGAGCCAATGCTCCACGAAGTTCTAAGACCACAATTTCTATCACGAGGTGTTTACAGCACATAGAAGCCATCAATTTAAGCATGGAAGGTAAAACGATATCCAACAATCCACATACAAGGACTCACGGTCATGCTAGACACCAACGTATAGGAACCCGTCACCATGCCTATATGTCGTACTCGATCATTTAGCAATTAGCAAACAAGACTCAACTCCTATTCCTTCAAGTTAGGGTTAAACCAAACACTTACCTCAAGGTCTTGAATTCCACTCAATCCTCAACTATCGCTTTACCCCGCGATTCCACCTCCAATTCGCTCGAATCTAATCACAAGTTGCTCAATAACTTTAATAAACACTAAGTGAATCAATTTGAATGCATAAAAATGAATTTTCCTAAGTTTTTCCCAAAAATTCCCAAATCGCCCCCGGGCCCGCGTGGTCAAAACCCGAGGTTCGAACCAAAACCCGGTTACCCATTCCCCCACGAACTCAAATATATAATTTGTTTTGAAATCGGACCTCAAATTGAGGTCCAAATCCTCAATTTTTAGAAAACCTAGGTTCTACCCAAAACCCCCCATGTTTACCCATGAAATCATTGATTTCAAGTGGAAAACATGTTAAATGATGTTAATGATTGAAAGAAACAAGTAAAAATCGACTTACAATTGATTTGGGATGAAACTTACTCTTGAAAATCGCCTAAGGGGAGGTATTTTGAAAGTGGGGTGAAAAATGACTTGAAATTCGACTAAGTATGAAAAATGCTAAGTCTCTGATGTGGGAATTGCGAACTGGGGTTCGCAATTGCGAACCCCGACCTGCTAACTTGGGAATTGCGAACAATTGTTCGCATTTGCAAACCATGGGCACAACTGGGGACTTCGCATTTGCGACCAGAAATGTCGCATTTGCGAAAGTCCAGCTTTCGCATTTGCAAGAAAATGATCGCATTTTCGATCCCTGAGCAAAGTGACTGCCTTCGCATTTGCGAAGGATTCTTCGCATTTGCGAGCCAGGCTTCGCACAGGTCAGAAATACCAGAAAATTTTCAAAATTCAAAATGCACTCCGACGCCTATCCAGAACACACCCGAGCCCTCGGGCTCCAAATCAAATATGCACACAACCTCAAAAACATCCTACGGACTTACTCGCGCGATCAAATCGCCAAAATAACCTCATATACATTGAATTTAGCCTAAAATTCATAATTTCTTCCAAGTTTTCATGAAAACATCAAATTTCCAATTTAAGTCCGAAACACGTCAAACGACGTCCGTTTTCAACCAAACTTTACAGGAAGCGCTTAAACCACATATAAGACCTGTACCGGGCGCCGGAACCAAAATACGGGCCCGATACCATCACTTTTTAATCAAATTTCATTTTCATTTCCTTAAATATTTTCAGAAAATAATTTCACACAAAAATTCATTACTCGGGCTCTGGACCTCGGAATTCGATTCCGGGCATACGCCCGAGTCCCATATTTTTCTACGGACCCTCCGAGACAGTCAAATCACGGGTCCGGGTCCGTTTAACCAAAATATTGACCGAAGTCAACTTTACTCATATTAATATCAAAATTAATCATTTTTCACACATAATTCATACTTGGGCTTTCCGGCTACGCGCCCGGACTGCGCACGCAAATCGAGGCAACCCCAAATGAGGTCTTCGAGGCCTCGGAAGCACTGAAAGAGTAAGGAAACAAGTGATGACTCTTTGGGTCGTCACATTCTCCACCTCTAAAACAACCGTTCGTCCTCGAACGGACAAAAGAAAGAAGTACCTGAGTCAAGAAATAGATGAGGATAGCGGCTCCGCATATCGGACTCGGACTCCCGACCTTACCCCTACCCTGGGGTAGAGAGGCTGTTTCCAAAGAGAAACTCGGCATCCTTCCCTCCAAGAACTTCCCACCTTGCACTTGGTGAGACTCGAACTCACAACCATCAGAACAACCCCTCTTGTCTTCTTTTTAAGTGCAAACAAATGGTAAAAATTGTACGGGACGCCCTATTTTGTTGTCCCCATTTAACCTATACCCATTTTTTTTTAAACTTTTTAACTTGTACCCATTTCTTACATAACTTCAGCCCCTTTCTCCTTCTTCTTCTCCTCCTTCGTTTTCTTCTTCTTCTGAAACTGAGTTGTCAAGCAAAACTATTCCGTATTTCTATAATCTCTGATCTTGCAATGAGCTGAGCCCGTAGTTCAATCTCAAGTTGCTGCAACTCTTCTTTTTCTTTTACCACAGTATGTAGTCTCTGAAGAATATCATTACCCGAACTTCCATCAATAGTAATTGAACAGAAGTCAAGAGCACGCCAATACAAATGTTTTGTTGGGTACTGCATTGTTTCTCTTCAGCCTAGTCTTAGCCTCATATGCAACAATGGCAGAAGCATTGTCAACATTAGATTATGAATTTCTAAAACTTCACCTCTAGAGATGAAGTTTCTAGTTACAACACAAAAAGATATTAATAGGTGGTAAAAGAACTTCAGCTCTAGAGCTGAAGTTTCCTAGTTACAACACAAAAACTTCAGCTCTAGAGCTGAACTTCAGGCCCGGCTACTAGAATGTTGAAGTTTTACGTGATTGCCTTTGTACTTCAGCCCCGCGGGGCTGAAGTTATGCGAAAAAGCGGGCGCTTGCAATTTTTTTTGCAAAACGGGCACAAGTTAAAATGTGACACAAAAAGCGGGTATAGATGCAAATGCTCCAAACAAACGAGATTATCTAAGGCCCATGACTATTTAACTACCATATGTAATGTAAATTGCTCATTAGAAAAAAACTAGTATATTATCTTATATATCAGGGTAAATTCTCTTCCACTAACTTAGCATTTAATCCAATAACTACAAACTAAATAATTCTCTAATTTCACAACTAATGAATATGTAATAATATTTTTTTTCGGGTTATTACACTAACCAAAATATTTTTGAGTATAGAACTCCAAAAATCTTATTAAACGTGCAATAATGTCCGAACCAAACAGTTAAATTTTCAGAAAACGAACAGACTATGTATAAACTGATAAGGAATGTATCAGTTCCATTAACGGTTGGAAGAAAATCAGTTCCATTAAAGGCGATGGCAAATTTCCAGTACTTCAAACAACAACAACAACAACCACCTAGTGAAATTCCGCAAGTGAAGTCTTGAGAGAGTAATGTGTACGCAGACCTTACCCCTACCTTACGAAGGTAGAAAGATTGTTTTCTAAAGACACTCGGTGCAAGAAAATAAAAATGAAGCCATAGAAAAATAATAGCAACAAAGTGAAAAAACAATGGAAGCAAGTACTTCACAGTCGAAGAAAAATATTACAATGTAAATTTAAATTACGAAAATATTAAAACGCTAAATAACAGAGACTGGGACTTTTTAAGGGGGATAAATTTTCAAAGCTTGAGATAATTAGCTATGTAGTTTCGCATAAACACTGTTTGGAATAAATACATGACATGTATCTTTTACACACTTCTATCGCTTAGCCATAATTAATTGTAGTGCAGTTTTATCTTATTACTTCACTTAACAATGATTAACTATATAGTTTGTATAACACTAAGGTACGAATAAATATTTTCCAGCATATTAAGACCCTACACCAAGAAGGGGAAGTGTTCGGACAAAATTTCGAGTTTACAGAGCTTTGGCTCACTGGTGGAAGAGCCTACTAGAACTAGCTGAAAAGAGATCAATAATAAGTCCTTCACCAGAACATAAAGCTAACTTTGCCCAAAGATTTCCACATCAATTATTTGGTTTTATTCAAGTTTGTTGCCAGCCCCGGGATCGCACATCCACCCCCTGGTCAACTTTATCTATGGCACATAATTTCCATCTGAAGCATAAATGTAGGATACATCTGAAAACTACGCCATGATACACGGGAATACTTCTACAGCAATTACAAACTCAGCAAACAAAACTCTTCCACAAAAAATCTTGAAGCAGTCTTTCCTTGTGGAAAATAATAAGACTTCACAAATACCTGCAAGAAAGAATGAAGGAGCATTACTGTCGTGTAATGACAAACGAAAACACAAATCTCAATAGAAGTTCAGAACTGCCTTTCAAGGATGACGATATACACATCCCAAGTAGTGCTCATTCGTTGAAAAAAAAAAATAGGACTTGTAACTTAACCAAAGAGTTTATAGGGCTCTTCACAACATTTTTGCTCTCAATGATTAGATTAGCTAGGGAACACTCAGTTCTTGGTAAAGCAGAGTATGGACAAAAAGTAAATATCTAAAGTTGAAACTTGAATTTGAGCATCAGATACAGCATTTGACCCATCAATATGCTACGTAAAACCTAATTCAAATTACAAGGACATGAGAAAAATAGAGAACGAGGAAAATAATGATTTTGTTAATTAGAGAAAATAACTGATGCAGAACAACTGGCAGGATTTTATTTGTGCCACTACATACTCCTGTCGCCTCAAAGGACAATTCAGAAACATTTCACGCTACATTATTATTTCTCTTTTTTTTTTTCTTTATTCAGGTACGATGAGAACAAGAAAGTCAAAGGAGGTGGCATTGATAAACATAGCATGTTGACAACAACTGGCTCATTACCATTTTGCAGAAAGGAATTGCTAGATGAAGAGCTTTTACCTTAAAAGATCAGGAGGATCAAACCACAAATATATCCTAAGGAAACAAAGGCAAAGAACTGAGTCCTAAGTTCTCTGGAAGTCCCATCATTAAGTTAAGATTCTGCAAGGCTTGACCAGAAGCTCCCTTAACAAGATTATCAATCTACAAAAGGCAATTGGGAGTTTAAATTTAGTAAGTAACACCAAATCTAACCAAAATATCACATGCAATCTATAAAAACAATGATGCAAAACTTACAACAGATACTATTATTGCTCTCCCATGAATCCGGTCTGGAAATACATTCATGAGGCAGTAATTTGACCCCGTAACATGTCGAGTATAGGGAGCTTCTTTGTTCTTCAGCAACACCACAAATTTTTCATGCTGGAGAAGGTGAAATACATACATATATCAGTCCTAAAGGGAAACATAATCTTTTCTTATGCATATGAAGATGAATATCATAACTACTTATCTTGGACTCTTTGGACTCTAAAGATGACAGGATTAGTCTCCTCCTCTTGCAAACAGATCTAAAAATATCTCAATATCTTTTGGTGGGGTGAAATGTTATATACAACAACTATGTCACAATCCCAACACCCATATGAAGTGTTATATGTATTGCTATTAATTCGATCTATGCTATTGCGGTCAAACTGGAAAGATGAGACTTGAGATCTAAGTGCAACTTCTTTTAGCAACAATACTTATAAGGGGAGATGAGCTGTCAGATTATTCATGCATGGCTAGTTGAAAGAATTGGCTTGATCCAGACTAAGCTTTAATTACATTTGTATGAGGCAGACCTAATGAAGAAGCAGACTAGTCATACTTCTCTTAAAAATTAAAGCATCAAAGCGCTTAGGTGGTCATTGACCATAAGATCTAAAAAAAATGCAGGTTAATCACCCACAACTAAGATATCACCGAGCTTGGTAATTTTAGCTTTAGCAAATTAAAACCCCAAGTTTACCTTTCATTTATAGACCTTCTTAGACAACAATCATTTCTTATTCCGATTCAGTAAAAACTTTTAAATTTCTGCCTTCAGATTGTATAACAAAGAATTTAATATAAGTGTAGTCTTTGCACAAAGATAGATTACGTGGACTCCTTCAGGTTTCTCACAATTACAAGAAGACCTCTTGTCAAAAGTTGCAACTACAAAATGTATCTAAGAGTCAGTGACTAGCATGAAGCCACATACTCCCTCTTCTAATAAACTGAAAACTCTTCCTAATTTGAGAAGGAAAAAAGAAAACTTGGGATGTGACATCATACGCAACCATAGAATACACTGAGAACAGAAACGAATTTAGGATTTTACTAACCGGAGAAATGGAATTACTATCGGGCTGAAGTACAGAAACAAAAATGGTAATGAAATCCATGAATTAATCGCTACCCAGGTCATGCAGCTGAAAGTTCATACCTCATAGTAGTTAACAAGGTGATCTTTCAAATCCTGAGTTGTCACCCCTGGAGCCATTTCCACATATATAGTCGATTGCATACCACGGCTCTGTAGAATAGAAAGTAATGCAGATAAAAACACAGCCTAAGAGGAGGACCAGCTGAGCAGTGCAAACTAGACAAGCTTGAAGAGGGTTCAGATATTACCATTGGCATAAGATGTGGAGTGAAGCTAACAGTAACCTTTGAATTTGCAGCTTCTGATGATCATTGTTCGATCTCTGGCACTGTGAACAAAACCAGAACTCTTATGGAATTTTTGTCAGCAATGAACTACCCATTTCGCTAACTTTTTGAAAACTTGAGGTATACCACATTATAAAAACAGAAGACATAAGCAATTGAACTTCATGCAGAATCAAAGTCACTCAACTAATACCATTAAATTAAAAGCCTAAGTGTTTCTCCGATATAAGAATTACCTCTAAACTAAAGTCGATTACAAAATAAATCGTCGTATTTATCAAATAATAAATATTGTGTTTGACGTGATCTGATCCTAGTGTAATGGATTAATAATAGTCTTTCATTTTACAGCAAAATACTATTTCCACAATTCTAATAAAGAATCATGTTTTTGCTATTTCAAAAGCCAGATGAATTTTGCTTTTTTTTTTTAATTTTATAAATTCTTAAAATATCTTTTATCTTTTCCTGAATTGGTTCAACCTTTAGCTTGGTCTGATAGAGTATCATGTTGGGGTGAGATGATATGTCAATATTTAGTAATCTTAATGTAGCACTTAACTTCGTAAATTTCTCCATTTATGAAATTAAGAAACAGTAACTAAAACAATTCAATATGTGCATAGCTGAAACGGATTACTGACCATGCCTATGTCTGGTTATACCATAAGAACGTATTCCCTCAGCTATTTCAGTGAACAGATTTGCCTCCTTTGCAGCACGACCTTCAAGATAAAGTATGAGAAGCTGGTTACTACTGCTAAAGTAGTACAAGTGGCTGGCATGACAAGGAAAGGCTACAAAAAAGTACAAACTTGCTCCACTAACAGCAGATTTTGAGTCGATAATTATGTTTCTTACTTCAATGAGATTGGACTGCAATAATAAAGGCAGAGGCAGAATCAACCAAGAGTGAGCCATGGACCAAAATAATGCAAAGGAAAAACTAAATACATTAGCATGAGTACTATATCATCTGTGCATCAAGCACCTTAAGCTAACAGCAAGGCAAAAAAAACATGTGTTCAAATTATAAAAGGCCATCTTTAGTTACATTTTGTAGAACAAGCTGACATATGGAACAACTATTTTACCGAGTAAAAGGAACTGACATCCCTCAGCTTATCAAGGAATATCTTGCTAATTCAGAATCAAGATTGACACAAGTAAAAGCCATTTTTCATAAGAAAGAAGGATCATAAGATTTTCAGAAAATTGTAGCAGACACAACAACAAAACCGACTAGTCAAAGGCACTTTTTACAAGACAGACCTTCTAGTTCACCTATATTAGCAACTTAAAATTTAGTCAGGTACTGGTTCAATTGGTATCTGTTATAAAAATGGGCTTGTGGACAACGAAAAAATGTACACAAACATTTAAATTTCTTACCTAGGATGTTTCAAACTTGCTTTTGATTATGGATCCATTGAATATCGTTATAGATGTGAGCACGTGATTTTTGCTCACACGAATCACTCCCAAAAATTCAAAATAAAAACAATTTTTCCTTTTGTGTGCAATTTTATGAATTTTTGTGATATTGTCAACTATTGTTTGCATTTGTGTGTGCATGTTTATTTGTTTAAATTAATGAAAAAAATACAAAAATATGTTGCAATTACGTGTAGGAATTAATTTTACAATTTTAAGTAAAATTACTTATTTTTATAAAATGGAAGAAAAACATAAAAATAATAATAATGCACTTTGCTTTTTAGTGTTTAATTGTGTGATTGGGTACTTAATTATTTGTGTTAATTATTGTTTAGACCTAATTAGTATTTTTTAAGTCAATTTGGTTTAAAAATATAATTTAGGATTTTAGGTTTTAATTTTTGGAAAATAATTTAGGAAGAGAATAAAAGGGAAAAGAATTAAATAAGAGGAAATCCCATTTGGTCCAAATTGAGTGATAATTCGGAAGGCCCAAATAAATGTCCGTCCAAAACCATCCCAAAACCAGCCCAATTCCACGCCCAACCCAGTCCGCCCTTCATAGAGACAAAAACGACGTCGTGTGGAGGTTTTTTTATCTGAGCTGTTGAATTAATCTAATCGGAAGGTCAGGAGCTTTCACCCATAACCAGCCCCGACCCGTTTACATCAGAGACCGATCCGGTCTCGAAGGTGATGGAACGACGTCGTTCCAATTAGCCAAATAATCCAAGCCGTTAGATCTCGTTTGATCCAACGGCATGGATTCGATCCCCACTCCAATATATAAACTCAAAACGAACCCAGCCCCCCTCAGAACCCCCCCTCACCGTCTCTCCCATCTTAGAGACCTAGGAAATCGCCACCGTCCTCCGCCGTAAACTGCCGGCCGGAAATCGACTCCGCCGGCGGCCGACTTCCAAACACCTCCAAATTTACACCATGTATTCACCTTAACCTCCCCATCTCCGATCCACCATCAGTTTCCCTCGACTCCTAGCCTAGCCTTTCGAATATTCAAAAAAACCAAGCGGTTCCTCCGCCGTCTCCGGCGGCAAGGTCTCCGTTCACCTCCACCTTAACACCAAATGCTCCCCTCAACGTCCTCTTGCCCAATCCCCGACCACCGTCCCTCAAGTCACCTCAGAACTTGTCGAATATTGATTTAAAGTTATGAATCCTAGCGCCGCCACAAGATCCCACGGTGACAGCGCCGCCCCCAAACTGTCCCAAACTATCACCACACAACCACCTTGACCCCCTCTTCCTAAAGCCATGAAAACTTGCCCTCGAATCAAACCAGGATGGGTCGAATTTCAAATTTAGGGTTTGAACCCTAAAACCCCTAGAGTCCCAATTCATTTAAGATAATTTTGATTTTGACTATGTGTTCTTGATAAGAACACACAGTTAAAGTCAAGATTTGGCTTAAAACGGGAGGTTTGAAGGTCCCCTTCAATTTCACTGTTAAGTCGGTAAGTTCCTTATGTCATTTTCAGCATTTTTTTTAATTTATTTTTCAGTCTCTTCTTCTTCTTCTTTTCTAAGATTAAGCATAACTTAGTTAGGATGTGAACTAGGTTTTAGTAATTAATTATTAATTGTCAGTTCGATTTTAATCCCTATCTTTTGAATGTTGTTATTCAAGCTTATGAATAAAGTTTGAATCTCTTGAATGTTGCTCGTTTCTGATTTTGGTAAAAAATGCTGGGTTTGAATTAGGTTTTGAGAATCCCTGATTTTAATTTTGGTTGCTAAGTCTGGTTTGGATTTGAATTGGGCATTTGGACCTGTCAACTTGGGTCAATTGGACCCAGGTTCTGCCCAGACTCATGGGCTCTGAATTGGGTCGTTTTGACCCATTTTTGGTTTCAAACAGGAGTGCTTAGGGGGATAAATTGGGTAGTTTAACCTTAGGTAATTAACAAAGGTTTTAAGGGGTAATTAGCAGAAGCTTAGGGGTCAACCTAGATAGTATATAATACAAAAATAATTGAAGTAGTGGAAATTGCACTAATGCTGATTTTAAGGACTGAAATAGGCACTACTGATTAAATAAAAGGCACTAGAGTAATGGGGTAATGTAACGACCCGACCCGTCGTTACGGGAGTTACCGCCCCGTTTTCCCCGTTTATTGCTTCTATATGTTTCATTATATGTGTTTAGAGAATTTGAAGTAATTCGGATAGAGTTCGGTTAGAAATGAGACAATAAGTCTCTTTATGAGAAGGATTGTTTGGAAAAGTCAACCGAATGTTGACTTATGAGTTAGAAGGCTCGGAATGGATTTACGATGATTCGACTAGTTTCGGGGGATGATTTGTGACTTAGGAGCGCAATCGGAATTGAATTTGGAGGTCCGGTGTAGAATTAGGCTTGAATTGGTTAAGGTTGGATTTTGGCGAATTCCGGATGGTAGGTGAGATTTTGATCTGAGGGTCGGAATGGAATTCCGAGAGTTGCAGTAGCTCCGTTAGGTGATTTTGGATATACGTGCAAAGTTTCAGATCATTCGGAGGTGTTTAGGTCGGGTTTTTGTATCGAATGCGTAATTCGGAAGCTTTAAGAACTTTAGGCTTGAATTCGAATGTGATTTGATGGTTTTAGGCGTTGTTTGATGTGTTTTAAAGATTGGAACAAGTTTGAATAAGGTATTAGGATGGGTTGGTGTTTTTGGTTGAGGTCCCGGGGCCTCGGGTGAATTCGGGTGGTTAAACGAGAGTTTTGAGGTGTATTGCAGGTCATATTTTGCTGTCATCTGGTGTTTCCGCTTCTGCGGAAATGGACCGCAGAAGCGGGTATGTGGTTGCAGAAGCGGTCGTTGGCCGGCTAGGAAAATTCCGCAGAAGCGGAAGGTGGCTTGCACCAGCGGGTCCGCATAAGCGGACACTGTACCGCAGAAGCGGACTTGAGGGAACCGCAGAAGTGGTGGTTGAATCGCATAAGCGAATAGGCGATTTTTAAGTGAAGATCGCAAAAGCGGAAATGTGGCCGCAGAAGCGGTCCCGCATAAGCGAAAGCGGGCCGCAGAAGCGAAAACTGGACTGGGCGACAGAAGGGTTTTAAAATAATATTTCATCCGCGACCCTTTCATATTTTTCCTCCATTGTTGACGTTCTTAAGAGCTTTGAACAAGGAAATTCGAGGGTTTTGACTGAGAATCACTTGGAGGTAAGTTCCTTGGCCTAAATATTCGAATTTATGGTAGAAATTACATGTAAATTGTAGAAAATTCATCAAAAACGGGTCAAGCTAGGGCTTGGAAAGCTGTGATGTAAAAATAGAATTTGGAGGATCAAACGAGCTCCGATTTTGGTAAACTTTATATGCACGGACTCGTGGCGAGACGAGGAATCCGTTGGTGTAATTTTCGGAATTTTTCGAGAAGTGGGCCCGGGGCTCGGGTTTTACCAACTTCGTGAAATTTAGTACTTTTCAAGTATTTTTGATTGGGTTATGTTTCTTTACCCCATATTTATGTATTCGTTGTGATTTTGACTAGATTCGACGCGCGAGGAGGTCGATACGAAAGGAAAAGGCATTGCGGACCATTCTACGGCCGGTTAGAGGTGAGTAGTTGGTGTATATGATGGCCTGAGGGTTTTAAACCCCGACTTATCACATTGTGACGCTATTGTAGAGCATGACTCGCACCCCATGGCAGGTGCGGGATTGGTTATGACTGGGGATTGAGACTTAGTCCATCCCGAACAAGAATGTTTCTATATTGGCGACTGATACGCACCCTGTATTGAATATATCTGGGCTTATTGCCGTGTTTGGGGCCTTGTGCCGATCTGTAGCATCCTTAGAGGTTGAATGTCATTGTGATTGCATGCTTTGTATAATCATTGATCTCAGTCCTGTGTCTAATCACTGTTATAAAATGCTAAGTCACTTTTCCTGAAGTTAAGTATCTAAAGTATATTCTTCTTAATAAATTGGAAATTTGGAAATTAATTGAATCTGTTACGTGACTCATATGCATATTGTGGACTGAGATGGATCGGGCTGCACGCCGCAGCGAATGGTATGATTATATTGCGCTTGGGCTGAAGGAGCCCCTCCGGAGTCTGTACACACCCCCAGTGAGCGCCGTCGACATTAAATGGATCGGGCTCGTGTTTATGTGCATTGCATTGCATCCTTACATTTTACTTGACTGTTATATTTGAAGTTGTTTTGCTGTTGGTTCGTAGTAAGGTGTAGGACTGTTAGTTTTAGCTTTGCTTTGTGGCATTTCGTGGATTTCTTATCTTCAGACATTTTATGCTTATTACTCACTGAGTCGGTAGTACTCACCCCTACTCCCTGCACCTTGTGTGCAGATTCAGGTGCACCGGAGGCTTAGCTGAGCAGTCTTTGTTTTCCAGAGCTTATTAGAGTTGTGAGGTAGCTGCTTGACGTTCGCAGGACCTGACTACTCTTCCTATTTCAGTT